AATTTTTTAGGTATGGTGGAGGTAGATACTTGATAGATTAATTGGAACACAGAGGTCGTTGACTAGTTTTTTGAAGCATTTTTTGTTGCTGAGTCTATCCAATTAATTGCAATAACTAGAAATCGTTTTGCTAAGTTTCACATTTCTTGATTGTGTTTATGTGTCGGACCTTTGGATATTTGATCTGTTGATAGATGACACAATTCTTTAGTTTGTCTTGGGAAATCAAAGCAAATGAATTTCGTACCTTATCTTATTTTAGTTTCATGACTAGGCATTGAATCATATGCGATTTACAGATCTTTGGCTTCTTCTCTTCCAATGAATTTGGTAATTTTTCATGTTATATTAAACTACTCGGGTGAGATGGTTGGGGCATTTGTAGTCAGATGGGCACTGTGGTGGTTAGATGATAATAAAGTTAAGGCATCAACTTTAGTAGTGGCCTATGGGTGACATACTTTAAGCTTCAATAGATGCTTAGCTGGAGAGAAATTAGAGAAACAATGTTTTGGGAGAACACATTTGCCCTCATCGAACCTAGTCCATTTACTTCTGATTCAACACTTAAAACCCGTTTTGAATTATTAATTCTATGATAGAGCTGTGAGCGCTCTAGTCATCTTGCTACTGTACCCATTACATTTTTAGGCTCTCTTTTATATTAATTTCTCTCGTTTTCTCATTATTCGTATTATGCTTTCACAAATTTTACTATATCTTGTTAGATCAATTGAATGAATCTACTAGACGAAAAAAGGCATGCTTAGACTCGCATTAACTGTAACATTTGATGCAGTATATGAATTCGATTTGTTGGAAAATGTGAAGTTATGGTACATTTGATGAATCTATCCCGGAAATTTGCGATCTAGGCTGACCTTTTCCTCATCTTTGGCTGGATTGGATATGCAGATAGCAAGAAATACATGGAACAATTTCTTTATTCCCTCCAGAACCATTGATCTTCTGGAGCAGCAGCATCTTATGGATATCCTGCTTGCTTTAATCTCTAGATTTCTATAAATATTGTATAAAGTGTAATATAGAGATATAAAACTGGAGAGAAAGAAGGAATCTCCAAAAAAAAAAAATGATGATTAGAGAAGAAAAGAATTTAGTAGTCACCCTAGTTTATTATTGGTGTTGGAGTTGCCTGCTAATATTAACAAATGAGCAGCTGAAAGTGAAGGTCCCTGAGATTTGAACTGAAATAAACCGGGAAAGAGTTGTCGCGGTGGTTGATGGTGTCATCCTCCTTGCCATTCCAAATTCAAGGAGAAATTGCAGCGTGAATGCTAGCTGGTGAGGAAGAAGAGGGTTGGCTGCAACTATTGATTAGTTAGTATTTTAAGGAGAGAAATGGAACTGGTTAGTATTTTCGTCCCCTTTTCACTGCGAGTGTGGGTTCGAGTTTTGAGCTATTCTATTCGATATTTGTGAGAGGACAATTTATTGAAGAAAAAGGGGGAATGTGTTGTGCTTGTTTGCTTTTTCATTCTTTTATGTAAATATCAATGTACATATATGGCTTCATTTTATTAATGTAAATAACTTTTCTATTTGATCAATATTAAAAAAGTATTTCTGTAAATAATTGAAGATTTACGCTCGGAGAGATAAATAATTTATTTTAAAATTAAAAATTTATACAAATTTTTTCCTTAACTAAATTTTATGAAGCTTATTTTCTAAATACTAATATAAATATACATTGAAATTTTTAAAAATTTTGTCATCTTAAAGCAAAAAAAAAAGAAAAAAAAAAGGTTGTGCCAATTTATTTTCTCAATATCACACATCATGAGTTAATTGTGTGATGATATTAAATCAAGTGGGTGGGATCCCTTATTTGGGTTAAACTTACATAATATTTTATATTTATTTTTTAAAAAATAAAATAGAAATACCATTTAAAAATAATAATGTGTTTATTTTTACCATTCATTGAACAGAAAAAAAAAAATAATAAAACTAAAAGAAAACACAGAGCATATTGGCACCTTTGAAAGTGATAACCCATGAAGCCAGACTAACTTTACAAAACACATAAAATAAAACTAAAAACAAATAGCATAATTATAAATTATTTAATTAATTAACTGAAATAACAGACCATAAGAAATTCAAGCTTGAAGGTATTTTGGTAAATAAAGGTTAGGCTTTAACAAAAGGCTAAAACAGAAAAAATGTATTAACAAGAACCCACATTTTCTTTTATATTACATTAATATTTTTAATCATATGAATGTCTTGTGTGTGTATATATATATAACCGAACTTGTTTCTGGTACAGGTGTGAAACCATAAATCAATATAAAGACAACTATTTAATAGTAACTATGATTTATTATTAGGGTGGCATAAAAGATTTGGTTCACTAAACACAAAACTAGATTACCAGAACAAGAAATAAGTGAAAACGACAAGAAACAGAACAGAACAGAACAGAAGTACCCTTGTCTTGTAACTTTAGCCACATGGACACTCTGATCTCTTTAAAGGCTTCTCCTATAAATCAGCTCTGTCAAAGGATCCAACACATAAACCGGGCGAAGTATGCTCTCCTCCATTTTTTAATTTTTTTTTTTTGACACAGACTCGGTTCCTCTGACTCGGACGCCATTGTTGTTCTTCTTGGTGAGTTTGTAATGGCGAGATGAAGGTGGGTTATGGCTTAAAATGGGTCTGTTGAGTTTTCATTCGAGAAAAGAAGGATGTTACAGAGAGCTGCAACCAATGCTTATTCATGGTGGTGGGCCAGCCATATTAGGACCAAGCAGTCCAAATGGCTGGAACAGAACCTCCAAGGTATTTACTCTTCTTTACTTTTTACAATCTAGATCAAGTTTGATCGGATTGTTAGATTAATGAACTGAAAAAAAAATCAGGTTCTTATCTGGGTTTGGATTGATCTGTAATGGGTTCTTTCTTTTTACCTTCAATGCTATTCTTCATTTTGCTTCATATTGGTTAACACCTGTTGATTAGTGAAAACTGTAATTTAGATGAAAACCTTGATTAGTTCGATAATGGGAATTTTAGAAGAAGAAAATAAAGGTGGAGAACTTGGAAAATTGTGTATAACAACAAAACATGAATAAATCTGACATGGGTTAGAAAAAGATACATAACCCATTTGAGAAATTTACTGACAAAATCAGTCCGTAAAAGGATTATGAGCTAAATCAGAGAGAGGCACAACAAGATAGTTTTTGTTTTTCCGGGGATTAGAAGTGATTGTTAACATGTTTTTGTAGAACTGCAGATATGGAGGAGAAGGTAAATTACACACTCAAAATCATCGATGAGGATGGAGATACTTTTGCAAAGAGGGCAGAAATGTACTATAAAAAAAGGCCAGAAATCGTCAACTTTGTTGAGGAGGCTTTTCGGTCATACCGTGCTTTAGCCGAAAGATATGATCACTTGTCAAGGGAGTTACAAAGTGCTAACCGCACCATTGCGACTGCTTTCCCAGAACAAGTGCCAGTTTCATTGGATGAAGATGACCATGAAGGAAATCCAGACGGGCCATCCAGAAATCTGCCTAATCTCCCCATAGGTAGAGTTCCGAAGGCCCCTGACATTCCAAAGAAAGATCTCAGATGCCATTCTATGTTATTGACAAGGAAAAAAGTCGCTCTAAAGAGGACTTCTACTTCTACCATCAAAACTCCTCCTCCAATAAGTTCAGGCCTCAGCAAGGATGAGGCACTAAAAGAAATTGACAAACTGCAGAAGGGAATCTTAAGGTTGCAAACTGAGAAGGAGTTTGTCAGAAGCACATATGAAAATGCTTATGAAAAGTACTGGGAAATCGAAGACGAGATCACTGAATTACAGAAGAAAGTTTGCAGCTTACAAGATGAATTCGGCATTGGCACTGTTATTGAAGACAACGAAGCTCGATCTCTCATGGCAGATACAGCTATTAAGTCTTGCCAAGAGACCTTGTGTAAATTGGAAGAGAAACAGAAGCAATCAGTGGAAGAGGCAAGAGTTGAGTGCACAAGGATTCAGAAAGCTCATCAGAAATTTGCAAACCTCAAAAAGGAATTTCTCCCAGAGGAAAATGTCCATGATGAGGAAGCTGAAGAAGAAACTGAGTCTGCAAGTGAAAATCCACAATTTTCAGAAGCAATGGAAGAAGAAAAACTAGACCTGAAACTCTTAAGAGACAGAATCAAAGAAGAGCTTGAGGCTGATTCAAGCTCTAATCTAACAGTTACCCAATTAGCAGAGAAAATTGATGAACTTGTAAACAAGGTTGTCACATTGGAAACTACAGTCTCTTCCCAGACTGCATTGGTAAAGAGATTAAGATCAGAAACCGATGAGCTGCATTCACACATTCACATCCTGGAAGAGGACAGAGATTCTCTTGCTTCAGGGTCAGATAATATGAACAGCAAGATAAAACAGCTAGAGGAGGAATTGAATAGAGTTAAGAACCTCAACCAAAGTATCGAAGCCCGGAACACTAATCTCCAAACACATTTCACCGAAGCAAATTGCAATATTGATCATTTGTCTGACAAATTAAAGAGTGTGCAGATCGAAGATGTGAGAACTGATTCTAGTGCCAAATTAGAGAAGGAGGTTGAACAACATGAGCCAGATAATAAGCAGTTAACATCAAAGCACATGAAAATATCAGAGGAAAAGAAAGATAATCATACTTATCCATTGATATCAAATGAAACAGAGAAAGAAAATCATAATGATCCATTGATATCAAATGAAACAGGGGATGAGAATTATAATAGTCTTGTACCCAGAGAAAGCGAAAAACATGATATTATCGTCCTGGAGAAACCTCCGGAGTCTGTGCCAGAGGAAAAAGCTGAGAAGAAATACTTATCTGAAACTGCAAGCAGTATTTTTGATGTCGAAGCAGAGGAATCAGGAACGGAAGATGAAGAAGATCATTCTGACTGGCGGCAGGTGTTCTCAACTGGGTTTGAAGACAGAGAGAAGATTCTGCTAGAGGAGTACACTTCAGTTGTTAGAAATTACAGGGAGGTAAAGAGAAAGCTCAACATGGTGGAGAAGAAAAACCGGGACGGATTCTTTGAATTGGCGTTGCAGATAAGGGAGTTGAAGAATGCTGTTTCTTTCAGAGATGTAGAGATCCAGACTTTAAGGCAGAAACTGAACTCGTCGGAGAAAGATTCCGGCGAAAATCCAGACGGACATCAATCGGAATGTAGATACTCTCATCCGGAAGAACACCAAGAAAACATAAGCCAAATAACAAGCTGTCCAGAATCTAATGTTTCATCTCCAACTCCACTTAATCGCTCATCTACACGGCAAGTTAATATTTCATCTCCAAATCCGCTTAGTCTTTCATCTCCAACTCCGGCTCATGTTTCATCTCCAAGTCCTCTGAGTCTTTTATCTCCAAGTCCAGTTATCAGTCTTTTACCTCCTAGTCCAGTTAATATTTCAACTCCAAGTTCAAATCAACAGCAAGATGAACCTGGAGAAACAATCAGCGAATCACCTCAACAGGGAGACTTGAAAAACCCTAAATCCGTTGAAAATGAAGTAAAGAAGAAAGTGGCAAACAATCCCAATGTTGTCCAAACTGTGGAAGAAAGAATCCGATCGGATATCGATGAATTGTTGGAGGAAAACCTAGAGTTCTGGTTGAGATTCAGCACTGCATTTCATCAGATTCAAAAATTCCAGACGGCCGTCCAGGACTTAAGATCTGAACTCCTGAAACTGAAGCAGAGCAGGAGGGAAGAAGAAGAAGGAAGCGTGAAACAAGGATCTTTCGGTTCCGATGCCCGGCCGATATACAAACATTTGAAACAGATACAGACAGAATTGACTCTCTGGTTGGAGAACAATGCAATACTGAAAGATGAACTGAAGGGAAGATACTCGTCTCTATGCAACATTCAAGATGAGGTTTCGAGAGTTACCGGAGCAAGTCAAGGAGTCAGAACAGTTCTCTCCGAATTCCAAGCCGCGAAGTTCCACGGGGAAATTCTTAACATGAAACAGGAGAACAACAAGATCTCCAACGAGTTGCAGGCAGGTGTGGACCGCGTGAAAATCCTCAAGGTAGACATAGAGAAGACAGTGTCACAACTGGAAGAAGAGCTTGGAATTTTCCAGTTCAAGGATAACTCGTCGCAGACGAGAGGCTCGTCCGGCCGGCCGAGGATTCCACTGCGGTCTTTCTTGTTCGGAGTGAAGTTGAAGAGGCATAAGCAGCAGAAAGCGTCTCTGTTCTCATGTATGAGTCCACAGTTGCAGAAACAGTACAGTTATGCTGCATCATCAGGCCGCCCTTGATTGCCAAAGTAGTTTTAGCTTATTCCCTATCTTCTTTTCCATTAATCCTGTATTTCACTTGTGTTTCCCTGGTTAGTGCTTGAGCAGAAAATTCCAATTCTGATTTCTGGATTTCTGGATTTCAGATTCTTGGTTTTATTATTAATTAATCGTGCTCATCCAGAAAAATATATATTTGCCATCTTTGTTCTGCAGAAGTCTCTCAAGCTCTTTACTGTTTACTTGACCATTAATCAACAAAACAAAGAATATAACTTTCAGAAATGCAGATTTTTTAAATTAGACAAAACAGCACCGTAAGATACAAGAAAGGAGAAAATTAAGAGAAAATGTAAATTAATGATTTTGGAGAAGAAATTTGGCAAGTTAATTAAAATTTTGGGTGAACATAATCAGTTTTTTTTTTAAATTTTCAAAGAATTAATTCCATTTGATAAAAGACAGAGGGAGGGGATGATTCTGTCTGTGGAGATTTGTACAAGGATAAACATTTAACCATTTTGCCCAAGAGATCCTTCGACAAATTAATCTACAAAACAGATTTTCCTAAAACAAAACTAAACCCAGATCAATAGAAGTTCATGAATTTTCACAAGATTTTTTCCCGCTAAATCCCATTTCCAGCCTCTAATTTGCTCCTAAGCTCTGGATTCTCAGTGCATTCATTAGTTACGGTTGATAAACTCGACTGCTTATTTACATTCACATTCTCACCACTCTCTTTAACTTCAGAATGCTTTTCCCTTCTATCAATTGATGAATCCATCACTTGACCATTATTTGCATTTGGGATTCTCTTCAGCACAGTGGCTGATGACATCCCAGTTGGTCAGTTTGAACTACCTCCATATTTGAAGTACTAGGATTTGGATCCTTGGCAACAGTAGCTTGTTTTTCTAATTCTGTTTCTTGGTTTCTCGTATCTGCTTTATCTTCCCGAATTTTCCTAGTTTGTTCGTTCTCTTCTACTTTATCTTCCAGAATTTTCTCAGTTTGTTCTTTCTCTTCTATAAATGGTTGACCTCCTTGGACTTGCTCTTCTGGCTTCTCATCTGGTTTTGAAACTTTGGTCTCACCAACAGGCTTAACCTGTTGCTTAGAGTGAAGTACAGGATCAGGATAGGATGTCAGAGCATTTGACTTGTTTGATGTTAAAGCAGACATTGATGAAGCATGCTGTGGCTTTAGCGAGACAGCTACAACTGAGCTAGAAGGGACAGAGGGATTACCCGAGAACCGTTCAGCCCCAACACCAGTTGGAATTTTGGGAAAAGCCTTCATGTGTGTGGAAGTGTTAGTAGGTAAGGATGATTTAACAGACAACCCGCCTGAGGATTTGATATGGATAATATTTTTTCCTGGGGCAGGCTTGAGTAGCGAAGCAGCATCTGAAGGTCGAGCAATCTTCATCCCTGTAGCAAGAGTAGCAGTTGGTGCAGCTGAATCTGAACAAGGATTAGGATTCACCAATGTCTTCTTTGCAGATATCCGAGGTTTTGATGCAGCATTTGATGGTCTGACTAGAGATGGTTTTGTTGGGATGGTACCATGTGGAGGTTGATCTTGGGCTTGTAAAGTGTTGCTGTCAACTATTTGAGCTTTAGCAATAGAAGTGGGTTGAGCAGAGTTTCGAGATGCAACGCTTGACGCTGTCCCAACTGATCCAAAGACATTCAGCACTTAGACATGAGCCAACCACCAAATCTCAGATGGATTAAACACAAACAAGCAAGTCTAGCATCCAGCATTTGAGAAAAATATCATAAAGAAAAAACTATGATCAATATTCTTGATTATTGTCTTCATTTTTCATGGATTTCTATGCTAGCCATATTAGGACTAAAAAATAGCATTAACTGGAGAAGGAAATCACCCGGACAACTCAAACCTGCTGTCAGATTTTTAGCTGGTGGACCAGCAAGGGCCAAGGACATTGCATGATTAGCTGCATGAGTAGCTGCCAACTGTGACTCTGTTCGGTGTGCACCAGCATGGTTAGCTCCCGCATTCAAGTTGTTGCGTCTTTTCCTAATAATGGCCCATCTCTGCAATACAAGGAAACTTGTCACAATTAGTAGAATAAAAGGTAAAGAAGTTAATTGTCACTACCATATTGCATATTTTACATAATCAACCATGAAAATTAGCGCAAATGCCGTTGCCGAGATTTGAACCCGGGAAAACTGGGTAGAACCCAGACATCCTGACCGGACTAGATGACAACAGACAGCTGTATCGAACAATAACAGCATTGCACTAACCCATCCATACAACTTAAAAACACACATCAAGTTCACAAGTAGATGCTTACCAGAAACATGAAGAAAAATAATTGCTCTGGGATTCACAACTAAACAAAATAATATGATTAATGATGATGCATGCCAAAATATAAACTACAATATTAATGATTTAAACTTTAAAAATTGGAATGGTTAAAAGGGTGAAACTTTGGCAGACATCATTGACAGAGACCACAACAGAATGTATCATTCACAAAAACACAAGTAAAAGACATGTTGACTACAGAGCATGTCAAAAACAACCTGAGAAGATACACGATTATGAATACCTAGAAAGAACCCACCATCTGATGAGTCCTTGAATCCACTGGGCAATCATGAAATTATGTAATGGTAAGCAGAAGGATCAAGATTCAAGGAGAAGGTCAACCAAAAAGGCCCCAGTCAGAAAATAGAACCTTTTGCTGCAAATCCGAAGAATTAATTCTTCTGCGGTTCGGTCATGTGAGGGTGTAATAGTTCTAAAAATGGCAAAAGAACAGGAGTTGAACCAAAGCAGGTTTACTGAAAATATAGACACATGCTCACCAGGCCACAGCATTTTTTAATGAAAAATACAAGTTGTGACATGTTGTACAATTGTGTTACTTATTATTTTGTGCAATCAATAACAGTTTATCACACATTTTAAGCTTTTTAGTTTCATAAACGCACATTTATAATTTATGTTTACCTTTTTTTTAAGGGAAAAAAGTCCATTGAGAGGCACCAGAGGGACAGTCACATTCATATTTATATTAATAAATAACTCAAACCAAATACGTTTGAGTATCGACACTCTTATTCACATACCAATATCATGTCCAAAGCAAAGACATTGAGAGTACGTTCCAAGAAAACAATGCATGATTCGTGATAGTCTTAGGTTTAAAAGATGGATAAACAAATCAATAAAGCCAAAGAACGGAAAAATAAATCAAACAAAAAATATCAGCTACGTGAAATTCCAAATAGAACCTGAGATAGCTGTGAAGCAGTTCTATCTGACTTGAAGTCTCCTTTTAATATGTTAGCCCAATTCCCTTCACCACATTTCTCCACAGCAGCAATCAGTTCCAAATCCTCTGCTTCTGACCAAGGTTTTCTTTTTCTTCGAGGTGGTAAGCTGCCAGTGCCACTAACTGACCCATTTGCATCCAGTCCTTCATTAGCTGTTGTTGCGGGTAATGGTTGCTTTTGAACAGATACTGGAACAGTAATGTTTACCCCTCTCATTGATCTGGAAGTTTGAGAATGTTCAGAAGTGCTCCTAAACGATGGGTCATTAGGTATATTTATGGTCAGTGGAGCCTCAACAGTAGAGCTGTTAGGTAGATTGCAGTCACATGGTAAGCCAGAAGCAATAAGTACCTGAACACAAATAGAGAGAGAAACTGTAACATAAGCTAATTGCAAAAAAGGTACAAGCCTTAAATAAACAATCTTTTCTTTTTCCAAAGAAAATAAGCCATCAAGTATTATAAAGAGATTTGATTCGCTGGTAACCCCTCAGTCTCATTAACCATTAATGACCCATGCACGCTGGGCAAAGCGGCGCCTCAACCCTGTTAGTAATCCCTTAACCAGGGTCCAGGAGGTAACTTGGATGTCCCGATGTTTGTCAAGATAAAGCTTCATTTTAGTGTGTAAATGATCCAAAGGACATATTTCACTAGCATATTTACATGTAAATGATTGTCCACCACTTGCCAAAAGGAGCTAGCACAGAAGCATGACCCGCAGGGAGCAACATGCAGGACCATCTCCCCATCCAAGCAATAGGAAGCTCCAAAGTAATTTTTCAAAATGGAAAATTTATTTGTGGGTTAAGGTGAACAGGATTTCTGGAGAAGGAAGGGGGAGAACAGGGGATGATTCTTTTTCCATCTTACAAAGATATCAGGTTGCTTATATTCTTTTCATGTTTAATCTCTCTGTTCTTTTTTGTTCCATTTCTATACTTTGTTCTCATTCCTGAGGGGAGAGGGGGGTTACCTTATCTTCCCCATTTTATATCTTCTTCCTTTCTCATATATCTTCTTTTCTTGCAACAACTTAAGAAAAAAAGGGAAACAAAAGGAAGACACCTCATGGAAAGAAATCTTTCAAAAAAAACTCTATTTCATTCACTTACTTTTACACATGCTGCAGCCTCTGATGAAGCTTCAGTGCTAACATGAGGAAAAGCTTCCAATTCATACTCTAAGTCACTATCATCATCCTGCAGGACAGAAAGTTTATCATAAGCATACATGGTCAAGAACTGATTTACTTCAAGACCATGCATGACAGCTTAAGTGACATTCTCAACATATATCATTCTTCATTTCCTTCTCAACAAAAAAAATAAGGCAATACAGGTTTTTTTTTAAATAAAAAAATATATTTTTTGAAATAAATGCAATACAGGTTCCTTCGGCATCCATTGTGATAACTGCAATCCATTGAAAATATATGATCACATCTTCCATTATAGAATTTAATTTAGTTGGCACTTCATCAAAAAGTCATGTCAATGATTAAGTGACATCCACTATACATATATGTCGGACAGAGAATTTGAGATACATGGTCAGCACCTCCTTGGTGCCTGGTCTACCATGCATGCATACAGACATATATTTATGAGTATGCGTGTATTGATACGTATAACTTCAAAAATATATTGATTGAGATGGAAAAATAATACAAGAGTATATGAGAACAAGACATATTAGCAATAGATGAATCTTTTCATCAACTACCTCCTCTTGATTGTCTTTGTACAGCCAAAAGAAAAAGACTAGATTAATTTCTTTCATTGCACCATTATCTCGATTCTGTCTGACAGTTTAAATTCAATCATCATCAGCCGAGAAAGATCCATTCTATGCCTAATTTTAAAACCTTATTATTTTACCTACTATGACCAGTAAGACTAGTAATCACATACACCCTCTCATACCCCACACAATCTTTTTTACAAGCTACAATTTGAAGAGGGTGCAAAACTGACCAAGGGTAGCGCTCCATCTTGCGTTTCAGTCAAGGAGTCTCGATATGCCAAATGCCTCCATAGCATCTGATACTCCCTCGCATTAGAAATCCCAGTAGTCGTCTTCTGCACCAGTGCATCCCAGTCGAGCTTCGCATCTGAATACTGGGCTACTTCCTGCAACAAGGCCAGCACTTCAGTCGCGCTGTACCTGTCCACCAACAAGAGAAAACATTCAATAAATCAGAAACCCAAACAAAACATGAACATGACCAATTGAATAATAATAGAAAATTAAATAAAAACTAAACCTAAGAAAAATAACTGGCAATAGAAACTTTAAAGAAAATTGCAGATAAAGCCAATACAAAAACCACGCCCAACAAGAGGAATGAGTGAAAGAAAAAGCACATAGCAAAGCAATACCCCAGCGAAATAATAGACAAATTCATTCGTTATAGAATAAGAGGAGGGAGTGAAAGTTGATACCTCTGTAAAAGACTGGAGATATCTTCTTCACTGATAAACCCCCTGCCGTGTTCCTTCGTCTTCTCAAGCATTGTGGTTATTGTGGTCAAATTGCATATTAAAAAAAGTGGAGTAGCAAAGAAATCGCAAAAAGTAAGAGTAATCAATCAAAACATCCAAAACCCTGGCAAGGGTTTTAGCGAGAGGTCAAAAACCCTAGAGGAAGAAAAGGACGATAATACTATGCCCGGTAAAGAAGAAGATAAAGACGAGAAGAGAGGGATCGAGAATGGACAAGAGTGCAGGCAGAATGACCGACCGTTGAGAAGCGTGGAGAACACGCGCTTGGCAGGGTTGAAGAAGAGAGAGTATGGAAGAGCACAGGAGAAGGTAGAAACGGCAAAATAATCGAAGGATGCGCTGGCTGGGGAAGAGATTTCAAGTTTGAAGGTCCAATGCGCTTTAGAGAGGATGAAATGACTCTTATATCCCCATCATTCGGAGTTGAGCTTCGTCGAATGTTTGAGGCTTCGCCCTCGGTTAATATTTAGAGTCGAATATGCCATCCTTCCTTCAGTCAGTGAATGATCGGAAAAAAAAAAAAGTTTAGGAGCTTTACGGCATTCAGCCCAACTGCCCAAACTATACGGTACTAAAATTATAAGCATACGTGTATATAATACTGTGTTATTTATTTATATTTAATTTAGTATTTATTTTAAATTAAGTTGTAAATTTTTTAAAACATCTAATGCTACATGTAACAAATCTTGATATATGATACTGTTTTTTTATTAACCATTAATTTATATTAAGAAATGCTCGATGAAAAATTTTGTATTTGAACTAATTAAAATCAGTTTAACATTAAAAAAAATTCAATATTTATAGTTTATTTTCATATTTTTATAATAAATACTAGGTTAAAAATTAATAACATAAATGGATTAATTAAAAATATTTTTAAAATATGAAGTTAATTGAATGCAGAGGAAAAATCGAACA